CGAATATATCGGACACCCCGTATACACAGGTGCCAGCCATAGCAGAATAATGAAATACACAAAGCCCACTCAATGTTTTCACGCCTGATATTCAAGGCCCAGCTAAAATACCAGCCATAGATGGGTGGGCATTGTTGCTAAGCCTGCTGAGCTTGGCTAAGCCTTGCTAAGCTCCGCTAAGCCCTGCTACGCTCTGCTAAGCGCTGCTTAGCCCCGCTAAGTCCTGCTAAGCCCTGCTAAGGTGCTAAGGCCTGCAAACATTCTGGTTTGCCCTGCTATAAGCGTTGGTAAGCTCTGCCGTGCCCTACTCAGCTCTGCCAAGCCCTGCAGCGCCCTTGTCAGCCCTGCTAAGCCCTGCTAAGCTCTGCAAGGCCCTGCGAAACACCGCTAAGTTCAGCTCAGCCCTTCTGAGCCTTGGCAAGCCTTGGTACGTCTTGCAGAGCCCTGGTCCGCCGTGGAAAACCATGCCAAGCCTCGTTCAAATTTGGTAAGCCTTGCCAAACCCCGCTAAGCTCGGATAGGCAGGGCCAAGTCCTGTTGGCCCGTGGTAAGCATGGATCAACCTTGCTCAGTCCGAGTAGGCCCTGGCACGTCCTGGTAAGTTCTGGTGAACCTTGGTACTTTTTGTAAACCCTGCTAAGCCCTGCAACCCCCTGACCACGCCCTGCTCAGTCTGAGTAAACCCTGCTAAGCCCTGCTCAGCTCTTTCAAGTACGAGCCTTGCTGAGCTTTGCTCAGCCCAGCTAAGCCTTCGGAGGCCCTTCGGAGCTCTGGTAAGCCACGCGCAGCCCTGCTAAACCTAGGTCTGCCATGCGAAACCTTGGTGCGCCCTGCTAGGCGTCGCGCTGCCCTGCTGAGCTTTGGTAAGCCTTGATAAGCCCCGCCACGCCTTGATCGCCCTGCTAAGTTCTGTTCAGCTTTGTCAAGCCTTGCTAAGCTCCCCAGAACCCGGGAAAGCCATGGGAAACCATGCCCTGTTACGCCCTGTTAAGATTTGGTAATACGGTAAACCGTGGTAAGCCCTGGTAAGCCCGCCCGTCTAAGTTGCTTCTTAGCCCTGCTAGCCCTTCCTCAGCCTTGCTGAGCCCATGTAAGCTGTGCAAAGCCCGTATAGGCCCTGCTAAACCGTGGTGCTTGTTGGGGTGTTGATGGGGTTCCCATTGGACTTCAAGACGACCCCCGTTGAACTCTCACAGAAAAATCGATTGGAGTCCCATAGGGAGCCTCCCTACTGAAACCAAATATGGCCACTGGGTTCCAATTGGAGGACTTCCGGATGGCATCCAATAGGATTGCATCGGGGTGCCAAATATGACCAGGTTATCAAAGCATCCACGGGATGCTGTAGCATTCCTACAGAATCCTATGGGGAGGGTACCGGAGTTTTTTTGAAATTCGCATGGGTCAGTTGACTCGGGCCAAAAGTCAATGATGAACTTTTAGTCGTTTCTATGCGCTTCCCGTATACCTATATTGACGACCAAGAACAAGTACCGGCCATTGATGGGTGGCCCATAGCGGACGCGTGGCCCGACTACAATTATTACGACTAGCACTACATTACCACTACTACTGTTACTCCCTGTATTACTATTACTACTCGTACGACGACTACTACTACTACTACTACTACTACTACTACTACTACTACTATTACTATTACTACTACTACTACTACTACGACGACTACGACGACTACGACTACGACTACGACTACGACTACGACTACGACTACGACTACGACTACGACGACTACTATTATTAGTACTACTACTACTACTACTACTACTACTACTGCTGCTGCTACTACTACTATTATTATAATTACTATACTACTACTACAACTACTGCTACTTTTACTACTACGACTACTACTACTACTACCACTACTACTATTTCGACCACGACTACTACTACTACTAGTACTCCTACCATTACTAATGCTACTACTACTACTAGTACTACTATTATTACTACTACTACTACTACGAGTAGTATTTTTATTACCGCTGCTATTCTCACGATTAATATTATTACTCTTACGATAACATCTACTATTGTTATTAGCGTTATTACTCTTATTGCCGCACCTACTGCTACCATCACTACTATTAATGCTCCGACTCCTCCTCGTATTTTTCTTGTTTGTACTACTACTACTACTACCATTGAAACTACCACTGCTACTACTACTACTACCGCTACTACTACCATTCGTATTACTACTAGTCATGCTACTGCTACTACTACTACTACTACTACTACTACTACTATTACCAGTGCTACTACTACTACTAGTGCTACCATCACTCCCCCCCACTATTACTTTTATTACGACTACCATTACTATTATTGCTATCCGTACTCTTACTACCACGTTATGACTACTACTATTACTACTACTACTACTCCGACGACTACTGTTACTTATTACGAATGCTACTACTACCGCTTCTACTACTACTGTTGCTACTATTAACTACTACGACTACTTCACTTTAATATTATTGTAATTACTACTAATACTTCTGCTACTACTACTACTACTACTACTACTAGCACTACTACTATTTTTGCTACTTCGACTGCCACTACCACTACTACTACTACTTCTACTACTTCTACTGCGACCACTACTGCTACTACTACACACTCGTATTCCTACGATTACGATTACGACTACGAGTACGACTATTCTGATTTTTATTACAACTGCAAGTTCCATTACTTTTACGACTACTGCCACCTCTCCTACTCCAAGTCCTATTACTACTACTACTCCTGCTACTGCTACTCCTATTCCCGCTCCTATTGTTTCTCTTACTCCTGCTCCCACTCCTACTTTCGTCTCCACTACTACTACTACCACCACCACTACTACAACTATCAGTAGTAGTAGTAGTAGTAGTAGTACTACTACTATCACAACTACAACTACTACAGCTATTATTATTACGACGACTACTACTACGACGACGGCGACTACTACTACTACTACTACTACTACTACTACTACTACTACTACTACTACTACTACTACTACTACTATCGTTGTTATTAATAGTATTGCTGCTGCTGCTGCTACTACTACTACTACCACTACTACTACTACTACTACTACTACCACTACTACTACTACTACTACTACTACTACTACTACTACTACCACTACTACACAACTACTACTACAACTACTACTACTACTCGACCACTAAAACATCTACTACTATTACTACTCACTACTATTATACTACTATTTTTCCTACTACAACTACACTCTCACCTATTACCTATTACATACTACTACATACTACTACGTGCTACTGTCTAACTACTACAAACTTACCACTACTACACCTACTCATACGTCTACCCACCCTCCTCCCCCCCCTTTCACTTTTCTCTTTCACTAACTCCTCATATCTCACTCTTACTCTTACTCTTACTCTTACTCTCACTCATTAAAGAGTATACTTTAACTCTTACTCTTACTATTACTCTTGACTCTTACTCCTTACTATCAACTACACTAGCAACTACTACTACTACTACTACTACTACTACTACTACTACTACTACTACTACTACTACTACTACTACTACTACTACTACTACTACTACTACTACTACTACTACTACTACTACTACTACTACTACTACTACTACTACTACTACTACTACTACTACTACTACTACTACTACTATTCCTACTACTACTACTACTACTCCTACTACTACTACTACTACGACTACTACTACTACTACTACTACGACTACTACTACTACTACTACTACTACAACTACTACTACTCGTTTTTTTTCAATTGTTATTACTACTACTCCAGGGAGGCCCCGCCAGGGCGAGGAGGGTATCGGAGTCACCTATTACTTATCAGGTTTCGTGCCCCTCCCACCGCTCCAGGGAGGCCCCCCCAGAGCGAGTAGGGTACCAGAGTACTCTATTGTTGATCAGGTTTCGTGCCCCTCCCACCGCTGCAAGAAGGCCCAGCCAAAGCGAGGAGGGTATCGGAGTACCATATCATTTATGAGGTTTCGTGCCCCTCCCACCGCCCCAGGGAAGCCCCGCCAGAGCGAGGAGGGTATCGGAGTACCATCTCATTTATGAGGTTACGTGCCCCTCGCACCGCTCCAGGGAGGCCCTGCCAGAGCGAGGAGGGTATCGGAATACCATATTATGTTTCTGGTTTCGTGCCCCTCCCACCGCTCCAGGGAGGCCTTGCCAGAGTGAGGAGGGTATCGGAACACCATATCATTTACAAGGTTTCGTGCCTTTCCAGCCCTCCAGGGAAGCCCCGCCAGAGCGAGGAGGGTATCGGAGTACCGTATTATTTATGAGGTTTCGTGCCCCTCCCACCGCTTCAGCGAGGTCCCGCCAGAGCGAGGAGGGTACCAAATTATTTTTGAATTCATCAGGTTTTGTGCCCTTTCCGCCGCTCCAGGGTGGTCCTGCCGGAGCGAGGGAGGCCTCGGAATACCTTATTCTTTACAAGGTTTCGTGCCCAGTCCACCCCTCCTGGGAGGCCCCACCAGTGCCAGGAGGGTATCGGAATATTATATTACTTGTTATGTTTCGTGCCCCTCCCACCGCTCCAGGGAGGCTCCGCCAGAGCGAGGACGGTATCGGAACACCAAGTCGTTTATCAGGTTTCGTGCCCCTCCCACCGCTCCAGGGAGGCCCAACCAGAGCGACGAGGGTATGTGAGTACCCTAATATTCGCTAGGTGTCGTGCTCCTTCCTACTATGATGGGTGCTCTTCTCCTTCCTCCCCTTCCATGCTACATCTCCTCCTCGCCTTCGTCGGCCCTTCTGTGACTATATCTGCACGTCCCGGGTCTTCGGGTGATGCTTTTGCTTATTGTGCCCCCTTGATCCCGCTAGCCCCGTAACATCCTTCCGTGGGGAACTTCAGTAGCATAATTTTTCCTTCCACTTCCGCCTTCTTGCCCCTTCCCTCTTGGAACCTTCTCACTGGGGCGAGGTCGTTTACGTAGACCTGCCGTCCGAGGGCGCCACCTTCAAGACCAAGGATACGATCTGCACGCTGGAGAGCGTGAAGGCATCCCGCGTCGTTATTTTTCAGAGGAAGTAGTGAAGGAGGAAATGGAGGAGGAGGAGAAGGAGGAGGAGGAGGAGGAGCAGGAGGAGGAGCAGGAGGGGGAGTAGGAGTAGGAGGGGGAGGAGGACTAGGCGGACGATGAGGGCGAGGAGGAGGAGGACGAGGAGGACGAGGCGGACGAGGAGGACGAGGCGGAGGAGGAGGAGGAGAAGGAGGAGGAGGAGGAGGATGATGATGATGATGATGAGGAGGAGGAGCGATGAGGAGAAGGAGGGAGGAGGAGGACGGAGGTGGGAGGAGGGAGGAGGGGGGGAGGAGGAAGAGGGAGGAGGGAGGAGGGAGGAGGGAGGAGGGAGGAGAAAGGAAGGAGGAAGAGGAGGCGGAGGAGGCGAGTCTGTTGAAGCCTCGTAGAAATCCGCGCGACCCTCACCAGAGGGTGGTATGAGAGGGCGGAAGCACCATAGATACTTCTGGTAGTCCAAATAGAGCACCTCGACCGGCCACGGCCGCGCGCCCAGGCAGCGCGCTGCGGCTGAGCTGCGCCGCGCCGAGAGGCCGTCCATCGCTGGTGGCCGCCGCCGGGCAAGTCGGGCCAGCTGCAGGGGCCCCCGGGCCCGGTGCCGCCGTGTGCGAGGGAGTCGCCGTCCGCTCTCCGCGCCGCGCCAGGTCGCCTGGCCGCGGCGCGCGGCAGCCAGCCGCCGGCCGCCGCCCATCGCCGCTCGCCCCTCCAGCGTCTCCAGTGGCCCCCGTGGGCCGACACGGGCTGCTGGGGTCGCCGCCAGCTCCACGTCGGCCCCAAGCGGCTGTCGGCGCCGCCCTGCGCTAGCGCCGCCGCGCCAGTGCGTCAGTCAGCTCGGCGGCCTCGCTAACCGGTGTCGAGCCGCGCTGCTGCCGCCGCCGCGGCGGCTCCGCCCGCTAGCCGGTGGCGCGCCGCGTAGCGCAAGCCGGCCGCCTTCCGGAGCTGGCGCGCTGTTGCCGCCTGCAGGCCGCAGGACAAGACCTTGTAGGCCCGCGCCAGCTCGCGCTGCTGCTCGTCTTCGGGCAAGCGCCGCACCTGCCCTAGCAGCCAGAGGCGGCCCTCGGCGCCAAGCCGCCCCCCCGCCTCGAGGACGAAGGGCGTCAGCCGGTCGCCGGGGTAGCGGGCGTGCTTCTCCCGCTCGCCGCGCCTGCTGGCCTCGCCGTCCCGGCGCGCGGCCAGCCGCAGCTCGGCCTGCGTGCCGGCTGCAGGGTGGCGGACGGAGACGTCGAGCCAGTGGGTGCCGTCGTCGTCCTGGTACTGCAGGTCCAGGATCGCGCGCTCGAGTCTGCCGTCGGGGTGCTGGCGGTCCCAAGTCGGCACTCTCTGCTCAACGAGGGGCCGCTCGCCGCGCCAGCGGTGGAAGAGACCCCCGACCCTCCGGTTGAGGCCCCCGTGTCGCGCCACCACGCCCCCGCCCACCTGGCAGGTCAGGGCATGGTAGCCGCCGTCGTCTAGTGCCCCGTGGCAGCCAGCGCCGTCGGCAGCGCGCAGGCAGCAGGCGGCCGGCGCGGTCGCTAGCTCCCGCTGGCTGAGCTCGGCGCGCGGAAGCTGCAGCCGCCGCCGCCGCGTCCCTGCCTGCCAGAGCGCGTTTTCGAGGGAGCAGAGGTCGTCTTCCGGGTAGGCCAGAAAGGCCGCGCTGCCGCTTCCGGCTGCGCCCCGCAGCTCGGCCTGTCGGGGAGGGGGCAAGCGTCGCAGCAGAGCTGCGCGCTGGGTCCTTTGCACCTTCTCCGTGGCCAAGCCTTGCTTCAGGGGCGTCTGCAGCGCAGTCGCCAATTCCCCCCCCGGCGCGAGCTCGAGCCCCTGGCCCTGCAGTCCGCGCCGCGCCGTTTCTAGCTCCTGGGCCGCCCGCGGCAGCCGCTCCAGGCAGTCAGCCAGCGTCGCGTTGCCCTGGTCTTCTGCGACCTCCTGCGCCGCGGCTGACCAGGAGGCGAGGAAGGCCGCGTGGCGCCGCGTGCCCGCCAGCTGCGCGCCGAGGCCTCCGAACCTGGCCGGGAGGCCCAGGAGCTCCACGGCCGCTTCGTCGAGGTCCCGTTCCAGGAGGTCCCTCCAGCAGCCCGTCAGCAGATCGTCGTACTGCTGCGTCGCGGAGTCCTAGGCGAGCTCCATCCGCAAGGAGTGCTGGCTCGCCGGGCCCGCGTAAGCGCGCAGGAGGGCTGCCGCTGCCTGCTTCTTGAGTCCGGCCTTTTACAGCTTCTTCAGCTCCCCCCAGAGCGTCTCTAGCTTCCGCCCAGCCTCGGACAAGCTGTTCGCCAGCACCCCAAGGGCGGCGGGCGCGCTGCTCTCGGCGTCTCTCGGAGGCCGCAGGTGCTTGCCGAGCGCAGGCAGGCTCGGCACCCAGCTCGCCTGCAGGTCCTGCGTGAGCACGGCGCGCCCGGCTGGGGACCAGGCGGCCGTCTTCGCCAGCTTCAGCTTCAGCCCGAGGGGGTGGGGCGCCCGCTGAAAGGCTTCCAAGGCGAGCGCGGCCAGCGCGGCGTCTACCACCAGGTAGGTGTCGTCCAGGTAGCTGTAGAGCTTCGCTTGCGGGTCCAGGCGGAGCAGCTCGGTCTGAAAGCCGTCCAGGGCTACTCTCTGCGCCGCGGAGTAGGCCGCGGGCGAGAGCGGGTCCCCCTGGTCGAAGCCCCTCGTGTTGTCAAGCGGGTGGAAAAGCCCCCCGGCGTCGCGCCAGAGGTGCCTCGCTGGCTGTCCGTACCAAGCGAGCAGGGCCGTCGCGACCACCTCGTCTCGCTCCGCCATTGCCGCTATGGCGGGCGCTCGTTCCAGCGAGGGTAAGGCGGCCTCCACGTCCACCTTCAGGAAAACTGCTGTCGGCCTGGTTTCTGCCTGCGCCTCCAGTTTCCGTAGCAGGAGCTCGGTGCCGCCGGACCTCCCGACCCCGTACTACCTGTGCCCGGCTGCGTCCCGGAGCTGCTCCTTCCGGGTCCGCGCCAGCGCTCGCAGACCTAGGCGTCGCACCGTCGATCCCACGATGGGCGGTCGCACGTCGTCGTCTCCCTTGCGCAGCGCCGTGACCTCCCCGGTCCGGAGAACACCCATGGCCTCCCCCGGGAGCATGCCAAAGGCGATCCACGAGACAGCTTCGGTGAGCCAGCCCAGGGTCTCGGAACACATTTTCGCGTCTGCTAAGTGCTCCAAGCGGCTGCCTAAAAGCCCCTGCGCTGAGAGGCGGGGTGGCTTCCGGAGCAGGCGCGCCGTCTCCTCCTGGACTTTCTCGAGTGTCTCTTGCGAAGGGTGCGGGATACCTTCCGCCGACGGCGCGGGCAGAGCCGTCGGAGGGAAGCACTTCT